CTCCACATCTTCTCAGCCCTGGAGCTGACGGGTGCGATTTAGGAAAAAATCTGCACATCTACTGACACTGGAGAACACAGACTGAGGGTCTGACAGTGTCTCCCTCAACAGCCCAGGTGATTCATCCCTTTCTTATTATTTGTCTTTCCTAATCAGAGGTTTACGAATTATCAATTACACTTAGTGGTTAATTGCCCTTCATAAAGAGAGCTTTTTTATTTTTAAATTAGGCAGTTAATATATTGTAACTAATAGCGTCACCTTGTAACGTTATGGATAGATCTTCATTGATGGGTGCTGGGAATGTGTGATTCGCACCCAAGTTAATGGAGCAGTTGAGGGAAGAAGTGCAGGGGGTCCCAGGGGACTAATTACTGCTAATGAATGATGATGTGACCTTCTCAGAACAGTGAACAATCGGTGTGACGGTGAGATGACAGTGCCTCACATCTGTCATTCCAAGCACAACTTCAGATGTGGGTAAAAAAAAAACGAGTAAATCACAGAACTCACGTCAGGACACAATATATACTTTTAAAATCAAAGTTCTAGTTTTGGAGATGAAATCTGTCCTTGAAAATATAGCGGGAAATGCGTGGGTGAGCCTCTCTTCCTGGGTCCTGTCTATTGGTGCCACCTGACCCCACTCCCTTTAGATGTGTCACCACAGGCCCTTTCTGACCACCAGGGACCGGCCAGTCCCAGGTTGCCTCTTCATTATTTTAAATTACTGATAAAAGTTTATTGAAACAGTAACATGGTAACACAGCGCTGTGCCTTTGCTCAGTGCCCTTGATCTGACTTCATCCTTATGGCCCTGACACACATCCCCAAGGCCAGGTGCCTGGCTCACAGGTAGCCCTCACTAAGCGCATGAGAACCATTGTCCGCACCCTAGAAAGAGCAAACAGAGGCTCCGGGAGGCAGAGACTGGATCGAGGCCACCAGCTTGTAGGCAGCAACTCTGCTCCCTCAACAGTCTACGGTGGTGCGAGCGGCCCCTGCACCAGCGAGTAAACACAGTGGGTGTCTTCCCGGGGCCCAGCCCCTCAAATGGAAACCCCAAGCCCTGAGCAAGGCCCAGCAGCACCAGGAACACAGGCCCAGCTCTGCTGCAAGGTGTCCTGCAGGGAGGGGTGTGTGTGGCACTCAGATGGTGCGTCGAGCCACAATGGTGAGGCCCTGAATGGCCAGTGCTATGAAATGAACTCTCTCTCCACAAAATTCCTGTGTTGAAGCCCTAACCCCCAATATAATGGTATGTGGAGATGGGGCCTTTAGGAGGTAATGAAGGTTAAACGAAGTCATACGGGTGGGGCCCTGATATGACAGGATCAGTGTCCTTATAAGAAGAGACACCAACCAGTGACACCCCTGCATGCACATAGAAGAGGTCAGGTGACACAGAAAGATGCCTGCTGCCTACAAGCCTGGAACAGGGCCATGAAACATGCCATGCTGACCCTATGATCCCAGGCTCTAGCTTCCAGAACTGTGGGAAAAATGTCTGGTTTTTAGGCCACACAGTTTGAGGTACTTGTTACGGCAGCCAAGCACACTAAGTCAGCCGAGGAACCAAACCCTCGGCATCTCTCAGTGGGGCCTGCTACCAGATGTCACAGATTTGGCCATGGGAGGCCTGGAATACATGATTCCAGTGTCAGGACAGCCCAAGCCAGGCACAGCTACAGGGCCCGTGCACAGCTTGCAAAGAGCTGCAAAGAGGGATTTTGCATGGTGCAGGCCCAGCTCCAGGACAGGCTGTCACCCCCACCCCCAACACCCAAGAACCCTGGGAGAGGGGCCTTCTGCGGGGCCCTGGCTGCCCAGACAGCTCCTCTGAGACACAGCACACACTGCCCCTCCCTGGGAGTCCTGGGGGAGTGGGGGTTTGCTCCACTTCCTGCATCCTAACTGGATCTTTGAACTGACCTTTACCTCATCCCGCAGGCCAGGACAAGTCTCTGAGTGACAACGTCACCTGGTGCAATTACCGTGCATCAGATGAACTGGTCCCTTACAAATCACCCTGGACTTTACACATCTGCTGGCTGTCGGCATCTGCCAGGAGCGCTCACCCGAAAATAATGGAAACCCTCTCATTACTGTTCCACAGCAGGTAAAGTGTTAGGACAATTACTGGACATCCTGAGTGACCTTGGGACAGCTCAACAGCCTGCCCTCTCTGGCTGGCCAAGTGCTTGGAAGCTGCAGAGAGCCAGGGGCTCCCCTGGGGGGGTCTGGAGGGGAGGCTGGGCAGGAGGCGGGAGTCTGCCAGGGAAAGAGCAGCACAAGACCCCTCCCGGCTGGTCCCGCCCCTCCAGCCCTTGAAATCTATCACCTTTGTCTGACCCAGAGGCCCCTCACCCTGAGTCTTTGCCTTCACCCTCCCCTAGAGCCAAATCTTTCTCATCCTTCAAGGCCTGGCTTGTAGGTCCCTTCCTCTGGGAAGCCCCGGGCCCTGCCCTGCCCTGGGCAGCACCCATGCTCCCGCAGCTGGGCTTTCACAGCCCTTGATGCTGCTCTGGGCCTCGGCGGTGCGATCCCCTTCCTCTGCCTCCTCCAGCAGCTCGGGACCCCTGCAGGGCCAGGGCATCTTACTCAGCATGCTGCCTATGCCCAGTGCTCCAACAACAGGTGTCGAATACACAGCTGAGCAGAGCAGAGCACCTGGGGGCATCCTAGTGCTTGACCAGCCCACATCCCCAGTGACCAGAGCCTCGGTTAACTAACATGGGTGCCACCTTGGTGTCTCCTGGGTCAGAATATGAGGCTTTGGGTACCAGGGTTACTGAGGCCAGAAGAGGGGCCAGCCAGGTGCTCAGGGGGGCTGCATTAGGCACAGGGAGCTGCTGAACAGGGCCACAGGGGACCCTCGGGGGCAGTGCCACCAAAGGGCTCAGATCAGCAGTTCACAGGTTAGATGTGCTGCCTGGTCCACAGAGTGAAGCTCAGATTTGGGAAATGACAGCTCAAGGGTTCACAGGCATCCAAGACTGGCAGGAAGTTACTGGCACTTTGCTGCATCAAGTTTGCCTGGATGATCTCTAGAATTCTGCCAAATATACCTAGCACGGTATATTTTGCTCTCTCCAGAACCCAGCATGGTGGACGCTTTACTGGGAGAAGCACCTAACTGATCCACATTTCAGATCTGAAAGGCCCACTTGGTATCAGAGAAATACATGCCAGGAGGAAAGGCGGGCATGGAGGTGGCAGGGAGGGGCGTTTCCCCCATCAGGATTCCAGCCTCCCTAACCCACCAGCCGGCTCCTGCCTCTGGGGCCACAACTGAGACCTGAACTGGTGCAGGATGGAGGGTCCCTATTACTATTGAAATGGGAACCAGCACAGAAAAATAAAAACTGTGCCTCAGTTTCCTCAGAGAGGGGAAGGATGGTGACAACATCTCAGCGGGCTGTTGTGAAATAACATGCAGGTGGCAGTGCCCAGGCCCTCCGCAGCCCCGATGGCACTGAGGTATCTTTAATACCGAGAGTCCTTGGTAGTGCCAGCCATTGTCTGATTTGAGATCTTTGGTTGTCTCCCTTTCAGAAAGCAGGGGAGATAGGAAACACACATTTGGAGAACTGAAACCTGCAAAGTGCTTATATCCTCTAGGAGCCCAACGTTTTAAAATAGAAGGTCAAACAGAAGCCCTGTTGAGCAGAGCAGAGTTGTTTTTCAGTAAATAACTAGTTATTGGCATATATCAAGGGATGCCCACGCTGGCTTGGGGATGGATGTGGGCCAGCTCCCCATGTGCCCTGATGTGCCCGAGCTGGGGTCAGGGAGCTGCCCGTGATCACAGCAGCAACAGAAAGACTCCTGCCCCATGGGAATGGGGTCTGGCTTCCAGGCTGGGGTCCTGTACCTGCCTTTGACAGCCGGGCGACCACAGCCAGACTCTTGGGGTCCTTGAGTCCCAGCCATAACATGGGGCAATGGTGGCACCTGGCCTCCTGGCTCTCCAGGGCTAGGCACAGAGGAGACCCTGCAGCTCCTCACCTGTGCTGGCGTTACCCCCAGCCACCAGCTCCGGTGGGGCCTGCTGCACTCACCCCTCATCTCCACTGACCTGTGCACACCTGCAGCTGGGCTGCCAGCCAGCTCCCCACCTCACCATGTCCTTCCCCACATCCTGTGGGACACTCTGTTGTGCAGCCACACATGTCCTCGTGCCCTCAGAGTCCACAGTTTGGACGTAGAGAAGAGAGGCAGTGACGCAGTAGATGAGCCCTGGCTGGGCCCCTCAGTCCGGGCCAGCTGGTCAGTGACCTCAGGGAGACAGTGACCTCAGCAGACCTGCGGCAGGCCCCCTCCAGGCCCCTTATGAAACATGTGGCACCCCTTCCCCGTGTCTGTGCCCTCCCTACCTGCCTGGCAGGCATGTTCTTTCTATGACGCACCTGAGCCACAAAGTTCTGGTCACGGAAACATGCTGAGCCTATGAGCATCAATTTAATAGTAATAAATAAAGATGATTTAAAACTAATCTCTAAACGAGAATCTGCAAGCCAGAGGAGTTTATTAGGAGAATTATATCACACGATTATGAAGAAAAATCCTTTGATAGGCCTTCTGCAAACTGGATGCCAATAATGTGGCTCAGTCCAAGTCCGAAGGCCTCAAAGCCAGGGAAGCCGATGGTGTCCTTGGGGTAAGTCCTGGAACCCAAAGCCGAAGAGTCTTGAGCTCTGATGTCCACGGACAGGAGAGAAGAGTGTGTCCAGCTCCAGCAGAGAGAGAGCCTCACCTCTTTCCTCTGCCTTTTGCTCTCTCCGGACCCCCAGCGGACTGGACGGCTCCCACCCGCACTGAGGGTGGGTCTTTCCCACCCAGGCCACTCAGACTCTCATGCTAATCCCTGCTGGAAACACCCTCATGGGCACCCCTGAAGAGACAGCTTTACCAGGTTTCTCAGCATTGCGTCGTCTAACCGAGTTGACACCTAGAATTAGCCTTCACAGGGTCATTGTGTTTCCTTTCTTACTTTTTCTTAACAAAAATGGTATTTTATACATATAATTCTATAGTTGTTCACTCAGCATATACAACAGTCGTGTCATACCGACTAATGTCAACACCAAACAGAGCTCACTCCTTCCCGGCTGCGCAGTACCCACGGCCTGGACAAACCACAGCTTCTTTACTCCTCTCTCCCGATCAGTACTCAGGCTGCTTCCGGCACATAAAAAACTATAAACATATCAACTGGGCTGTGCAGTCACTGCCCCAGACTCCAGCACTGTTACTCAGCAAAACACTTTCATCATTTTCTGAATGACTGAATGACCGCATAATCAACGTTACAGATGTGAACCTGGGAAACAAACTATTCAAACACCGCCCTTTTATCTATTATTTTTTTGGGGGAGAGGGTGAATCTTATCTCAAGTTCAATTGGGGGGAGAAATGCTCTGAGGCTACATAAGAGTTCAAAACTCCTGGCTCAGGGACCTGCAATGGGTCTCTGCCTCCAGTGACCATTTGTGAGCTGTGAACTAAGAGAACACCTTCCCTGAGCAAGGAGGCAGGGGCGGCAGTGGAGTGTGACAGGCGGGTGCCCAAGGACTGCACGAGCATCAGTGAGGGCGGGGCTGCATCTCCAAAGCTGCTGTGCTTTGGGCGAATACAAAGGAAGAGGTCTGGAAGGATCCACCATGTCCCTATAGGGAAGTGACCGGGATGTGGCTGGTGACGGAGGACTTGGACTTTTCATTGTATATTCACTTGCGGGCAGGAATGTTTGCAAGAAGGAAGACACCTATTTCTTAGGAAGCTTAAAATGTTGGTATTATAAAGCAGAAAACACAGAGCCTGGGATGAGGAGGGCACAGTGCTCTCCCACACCCTCCCCCTTGTCTGCAGATGACGCGGTTCACCTCCTGGCAGCGAATGGCACAAGGGACAGCACGTTCTTGACAAACACCCCTTGTCCAAGGTCCAGGCTGAGTCAGGAAAGCTCCTGTTGGCTTAAATAACCTCAGACAAATGGCCCTCCCCCTGCAATATCCCGCAGGGCCCCTTCTCTGGCTGGTGCTGCGCCACATGTGGGGGGTGGGATGAGGTAATGCAGGTGGAGCTCCAGCCCAGGCCCGAAGTCCTTGATTATTATTAAGTAGTATTAGTATTAGTACTTTTACTATTCTTGGGGCCCATGTCCCTAGGGCTGATGGTGCCTGGGCAGTTGAGCATCGAGGAGAAGGTCCTGAGGTGCGAGGACTTGAGACAAAATTCTCCTGGCCCTGGTCCCTCACTGCTCCAAGACCTGCCAGGAGGCACCTGTGTTTTAACAGGGTCCCTAAGGCTTCGGGGCACACTAGAGATGGAGAGGTGTCACTTGGAAGGATGGGTGGTGAGGCTGGCTCAGCAGCACCAGGGCAATCCGGGGCGGTCCTGGGTAGGAATTGCTTTATGAGGCTGCCCAGGGCCCAGGCCGAGCCTGTTTCCTTCCGCCGGCTCCAAAAAGGCGGGGCCCGGCCTGGGCTGGGCCAGCAGATGTGCTTTAGTGGCCCGTGACAGGATGCAGTAAATGCCCACTGCCTTTCACATGCTGATGCCTCAGGGGCCATCGGGTGAGGGCCAGCCGCTGTGCCTTTGTGCTGGCTGGTCTTGAGGCTGGCCTCTGCAGCCCCTGCTGTGCCTGGCCTCGCCTCTGAATAGCTCCCTTTGGGGAGCCCAATCCACCCCAGAATGGGCTCCAATAAAGAGCATGTCAGGGGGGACCCAGGCTGGTTACAGATGTCCACCTGTGACTACGCCCACCCACAAGTCCTAGAGCAGTAAGTAGGCCCCACCCAGCCAGCACTGTCCCCAGCAGCTCCAGGAAGGTGCAGCAGGCAACCTGGGGACCCAGAGCCACACTGCCCGGGAAGGATGAAGGGCAGAATCAACGGGGCCCCAGAAGCCTGGGCCTCCTGTTCCTCTACCTGCGCTGCTCTTAGCCCAGCTCCTTCTGTATCTTCGGATCCCAGCTCACACATCATAGGACCTTTGAGGCCATGCACCCCACCCCCGGGGCCCCACCTCCATCTGACACACTAGCCTTCCAGGTGAGCACTGTTTACTGCCCATCTCCCCTACTGCAACATCAGCTCCACCAGGGCAGGAGTTTCCATCTGTCTTGCTCACTACCACAAACCCCCAGTGCCTAGAACGGTGTTCTAGTACAGCAGAGGCACCCAGTGCCTGTTTGCTGGGCACGGGAGTGAATGCAGGCATGCGTGCGCGCATCCTTCATGAGGGCTCAGCCACTTTTTCTACTTCTGCCAGTTCTTGAATCTCTCAGACCCTCAGTACTTGAAAAGGGGAGGACACCCCCTACCCCAAGGGCTGGTGTAAGGACATGGTGGGGGGGTAAGCACCTGCCTCACACATGACAGGCCTCCCTCAAAGAATGGTGACTACTATTGTGGTTGACATTGGTTTTAAAAGCTGAGTTTACCCTCCCCATGTGCTCTGCATCCCACAATAAGTGGGATCC